TGTTAATAAGCGTCAGTGCCAGAATATTGTTAGGACCTAGAGCCTGTGCCACATGGAGGACACAGACCATGTAGAGGGTGTGCAATGCTGTGCAATGGGTTGGTTCTCTCCTCAATTCCCTAAATCACAGAATTTGCAGACTGACCTGTCCTTGTTAGTTTCCATAACCTTTGTGACTGGTTAACAATACAAATTTTTATTCCCCCCTGCAACAGCTTATTTATATACTTATGCCCTTGCTAGAAACTGGAGATGGATTGCTAGGTTTTAAGGGGATTGCAGAGAGGAGGAATATTGAGTTCTTTTTTCAAGAGGCAACTCACAGGCCTCTCTTGATTAAGTTTCTTTGTTAGGTACCCACTTTTCTTCTTGTTTAAACCATGAAAGGCAGCAGGCATTCCTCGAGAATGATTTAGATTTTCTGCATCTCTGTGAAAGGATCTTATCTTCACTGAACAAAAAAAAACCCCTCTGAAACATATCACTTGCTGATATACCTAAGTGTACCTTGTGCTGGACTGTGCCAATGTACAATATTTGGAAAAACATTCTCTGAAGAGACAGCCTGGCAGATGTGCTTAAAGAAGTAATTCAGTCACTAGGTTTGAGTGACCCTGACATGCATTTGCCATCGTCTGTTCAGCTCCAGAATATCTATGGCAGCAGTGCACAACGCACAAAAACTAATCTGATGCCATTGTGCTTGACCAGGTACACCAATATAATTGGAACCTTCTGGGCTGGTATATTGATATCCATTGCTATGGATACCTTGCTCCCTAATAATTTCCACTGCTTTAAAAAATGTTTCTTGCAGTAACTACCATCACGACATGACAGGGGCCGTTCCAGTTGCAGGCACCAACCCACTTGCCCTTGGTTTGTTGTTACAGCTGCCTTTGCAAACTGGTCCACCTCCTTATTTCCTGCTTGAGAGGTTGTACCATAGGGAGGGATGATCCTCTCCAATGACTGAGAAGTACTTTCTGGTCCCCCTGCACACAGGAGTTCCCCACGGCACATCACAGCCAGTCCAGGGCCACTGACCAGCCAGACCCCTGATGTGGCCAGCCTGAGAGCAGCCCATAGCAACCAGCCAGTGATGACAATGCTGTTGCTGATGAATGTTTGCTGTGGTGATCTCATGGTGATGTGGTGACATTAAGTTGAACAAACAAAGCAGTGGCTAATTGACTCATCAGTAAACATTCTGCTAAACAGAATTAAATGGAGAGAAAACTCAGTGAAATGATTTAATAGGAAGCTCCTGATGACAGGGTTTTATTAATTATATTTTCACACAGCCAAGGAGGTACAAAATGAGAGACTGGAAAACTTTCAAAAGGTTTTTGGAAAGAACTATCCAAATTTCAGGAGAGGTTGATGTTTTCTGTTTGTTTTTTTTTCTCTCTGAAAGATAATACAAGTTTTTTTTGAACAAGAGTTTTTAATGGTTTTTTAATTTATAAGCTGCAAAATAAAAGATATATTCTGTAACAAGCAGGACACCAGAAACACACACTATACACACTCCCCTCCATTAACATAAACCACAATTTCTAAACTATCCAAAATAAAAGCCAATCTTCATGTAAATTAACAGAATTTAAATAGGCAGTTTTTGACTTCTAGTCGGTATTTCAGTAAAAAGAAGTCTACAAACCCCAGAATTGTTTTCAATGAAGGTCTTCTTTTCAATGTTAGCTCTATATAGAGATGGAAATATGTCTTAAAAGGCAACCTTTTTCTTCTTGAGGCTGTTTTAATATAGCACTTCTCACACAAAATTTCTAAAAGGATTTTGTGATGACTCTATAGATGTAATTGTTATAGAATATGTCTTAATGAACAATTTCCATCCTGTGGCAAGCCTTAGGAACACTATTACTGTGATGTTTCTTTTAACCACAACTTTGTTAAAATAAATGTTATGAAAACTTCCAATAGGAAGGAACCTGTATCAGTTCAAAAGTGGTAAGTCTCCAATTTGACAACCTCAGCTGCTACTTCAATTTTCATGCTCCCAACAACACCCTACCAGTTTTATTAGCAGCTGTGTTAGCACTACACATTTTTCGATGGCATTTGTTGTGAGAGATCTCAGCTTCCCGCAGCAGTGCAGGCCTGCGGTGATCACACACCTCTCAAACAGCTACAAAGGCGTTCCTTCAAAACTGGCTATTGCAACATTCAGCAGCACCTACTCATGCTCCTGCTTATTTCTGCCAGACTAATTCCTGTCCAGGAGCTGGAGCCCCATCTAAAATTCAACTTCTTCCTCCCAGAGAGCAGCATACAATTATGCCATTTGCAGATTATTTTCCTCTTGACGCTTGCCTATGTGCAGAGGACCAAGGATTTCCACTTTCTGTTTGTGGGACAACGAACCCAGGAACAATTTTATCCTCTCTCAGCATAGCTACAACAATCGTCTGTGTGTAACATGATTATCTGTGGCAATGTTCTTTGATTTCATTTCCCTTCTCCCTTTGCATCCAGGCCCCTGCTCTTAGTAGCTCTTTTCCCACATCTCCAAGTTCATCTCCCTCTCATTTACAAATACAGAGGTTTTCATGCATGAATCAGCTAGCTTCTTCTCATTAAATTTGTACCATTCTTCCTGCTGCCTCCTCCTGATCTCCCACAACTCCCAATCAAACCACCATGGAGTTGACAAAATCCTTTCCATTGCTCTGACCTCAACCCCCGCTCCCCTGAACCTCTGCATTTGCTTGAACCTCTTAAACATCTGTGTTAACAAGTTTCTTGCTGGGGGATTCTTTCACTCTGCCATTACCTGAGAGCACCCTCTCTTCACTCCTTTCAAGGAATTCCCCATGACAATCCCATATTCTTTGTATAGTCAGCCAGGAAATTTTGCAAGTAAAAATCTGTTCTGGCACAATTGTGTTTCTTTTCATATGGTGCGGGGGACTTTTTTATGTTTACAGCCCTTTCTGGCAAGGACCTGTAGTCAGAGTCTAGATTAAATGTACCAATATGTCTGTGGCATTATTATGAAGGAGAAGCAGATATAATATGTGGAAGATAAATGTTCAGTTCTGGTGATATACAAAACATGAGCTACTTCCTTAATCTTTGCAAAAAAATAATTCCTCCAGTTCCTTAATATTTGCAAGAAAATAGTTCCTCCTTCTTAGAGATCCACACTATTAACATCACCTGTCTAAGCCTTCACAATAATTACTTGCATTATTTTAATCAGAGGAATAACCTTATTCCTTTAAATCTTGATTAAAAATAATTACCAACTATAAAATGTTCCTAATGTTTTTGTTTGAAGCACCTTCTGATGGTTCTGTATCAAGCTAAATGAGGTTCTTCAGGTGTGCTAGGAACACAGGAGTCCAAATGACTCAGAAACCTGCAGTCCATGTGGGGCCTGTGACTTTTAAGTCACTGGTTTAGCTCAGGGGGTACTGATGATCTTCAGTGGAAAAGACAGTGCTGCTGCTCCGTCTGCTGTTGAATGCACATAATACTCACAACTTTTGATTGCTATTACTTGTGAGCACTAGCTTCTGTTTTTCCCTTTCTTGCTATTGTTACTACATCCTCCCAAAAAGCACATCTATTTTATCAGTCTATTTCCAGGATTTATGGAAGTCAGCAGAAAATATTTTTCACACTGCTTTCTCAGGAAGGAACTACCTCAGTTTGGATGAGTTTGGTAAGCTTGCTTGGTAGAGAGCAAATGATGCTCTAATTGATACCCTCAGCAGGAAGGGGTGATAGTGAATAGATTAAAAAGGTTAAAATGCCTTTGATTAAGGTGAGTGAAATGTCAGGATGTCCTAGGAAACAGAGTAGCCTTAGACCTTGGTGCTTAGGTTGCTGCCATTCTGTGCATGAAAAGGAAATACTTAATTCCTTACCTTCCTTCAAGAATGTCACCATTTTATGAAGGAGACACATTCATGCAAATACCAGGGCCTTTATATAAATAGGTGAGGAACCTGGATGAACAGATTATCATTTTAAGCTCTTCTGCTGAAGAAAATAAATGCAGTTAGGTGATTCATAGATTTCTAAACTGGATTGGAAAATTGTATTAGTTTTACAAATTAATTCAGCTGACAGCTGCTGAAAAAATCTTTTAGTTTGTCTCACACTAGAAAGTTCAGTTGCTTTAGCTGATTGCTGGGTTGGTGAAGGACAACAGGCAAGTTAATTAGAACATATAGGCAGTAGGGATAAACATTGTGCTAAATTTAGCAAGGCATTCTCCTAGATTGCATGAGCAGCAGTAGGTGTAACTGCTCTCCAAATTAGGATCAACCATTACAATGAATTTATAGGACTCCCAAGGGCAGTTGACTTAACTGATGCTGCCATGGCTAAATGCCAGTTTTTCTATTGCCCAGTAGCCCTGATTTTCTGTTTTTCTTAGTCAATAACCACAAAATGATAGTAAAATAAATAAAGATAAGCTACATACATACATGTATTTGTCAAAAATGGATTGGGGTGGAGCAAAAAACTGTCTGAAGGTTTTTTAAATTATGGTAATTCTGTCAAGACTTTCTCTTGCATTTGCTTAGTTTTACACAGGGTTGGATGAAATAATGAAAGAATATAAATGCTTTATTCAGAAGTGCAGGACTAAAGACTAGGTGGGTCTGTATCCTTAAATAAAAATGCACAAATAAAATGACAGTGGAAAATTGCTTCTGACATTTAAATTAACAGATAAGGAATTAACATTGGTGGGAGTTAATGAGCTTTAACATTATTAACTGTCTTATTAACTGGTTGAAAAGCTTACCTGCAAACTGACTAGTTATGCAATTAGGTGTACAGAGAAAAAGCAATCCATCAGCCATTAATAAAAAAAAAAAAAAAAAGAAAAGAGGGTAATACTTTCTTTTCCAAATTGGGAAAATGTTTAAGGTGATCTGGAAGGAAAACATTCTATGACAAAGCCTAGGTTTATATGCCCCTGGAAGTATTTGCATGAGATCTGTGATAACTTCTTCCAGGTGTGTCTCTGGCTGAGGAAGAAAGGGCTTGAGATGCTGGATCCACACCTGAGCTGCTCCAAATGCAGTGTCCTGCCGCATGTCTCTATCAAGTGTCCTTAGGAAAAATATTTCCTTCAAGACCACAAGGTGAGACTCTAAGTGGTGTTGTTACCCCCTTTACAGTAACAGCTTTGTAATAGATGGATTATGCTGTCAATTCTTCCATTTCTGTGTAACAGTTATGACTTTGTGTGTTCCGCAGATCCATTAAGCTTTATGCTGGCATTTCCATTTCCATCATTCTTTTCATCCTCGATTTATGGTCCACTTAGTTCTGTTTACTGACTTAGGATTACATGGTCAAAGCAGACCAAATTCAACTTTATAATCAGAATTAACAGTGCGGTGTCATGTACTGTACCTCTTTGCTATGGGTTAATGTGAAAAATCCTGGCCATTGATAATTTTTGTTCAACTTATAAAATGTTAGCTCATGATATTAAACATCATTCTGGCTGGCACTGGAAGCAATGAATGTTAATTACCTGGAATAAATGAAATAACAATTTCAGACAGGAAAAAACGACTTTGGAAAATTCTAGCTGAAATTAATCCTCATTAATCCTTCTTCAGCATTTGTCAAAGATGAGTAATCTAGTCACTAAATTGTTTTCTTAGAAAAAACTTCTGCAACTGTCTTATCAAGGCCTATATTCAAAGGAACAAAAGCAATACAAGTCTTGAAAATCTGTATTTCAAGGCTGATTTGTGTTTTGTCTGCTAGGCAACTGCCACTGAAAACATGAGAAGAGAGGAGCAGTCATTCCAAAGGTAGTGCATATGTCTTGGAGTGCAAGCCAAGTTTCAGTCTTCCACCTACCATTCATTGATCCTTCACTCAAACCCCTGGGAAGCTGAAACAGAGCTTCTGCCCCTGCCACTTCCTATGACATACATTATGTTCCTTGCATAGCAACTTTCTCTGTGTTTTCCAGCCTTTAACTGAAGGCTCAGGTCAGATATTAGGATGACATTTACTGTGGGTGAGGGTGGTGAGGTGCTGGAACAGGTTGTCCAGGGAGACTGTGGATTCCCTATCCCTGGAGGTGTCCAAGGCCAGGCTGGATGGGGCTTTGAACAACCCATAACTAGTGGAAGATGCCTCTTCCCGTGGCAGGGATCTTTGAGCTAGATGATGATGATGAAGGATCCTTCCAAGCCTGGATTCCATGATTCCATCTGAAGGTCCTTTCATGGCTGCACTGTGCAAGGGTAGATTCTGCCCATAAAGCAAGTGAAGCATCCCAGAAAGTTTTTGCATGCAGAGTTGCTGTCCTCTGTATGTGAATCAGCACGAGGAATTGCATCAGTTTAAAACGGGTTTGTAGGAAGTAATGCTGGTGTTTTTACCTGTTCACACAGATTTAAAATGGCTACTCCCATTTTGCTGAATCTTCAAATAAATAGAAAGTATAATTTTTCAAATGAATGCATCCTACAAAAAACACTACTCCAGCTATGGAGAAGAGCAGACCAGAACATGGGCCTTTGTCTAGTGTTTTAACTCTCACTAAGAATACTGTTTGATTTATAATTTTGCTTCTGTCAGTCTCTATATTTTGGGTTTGAAGAGAGAAATGCATACGTGTGACAGATATTCATCATATATTTTTAAATTTACAGCAGGTTTATTTGAATGTGGCATTGTGAGTTTGCAGTCTCCCTTTGTAGAATTAAGAGAAAATGTGGAGCCGTACTCTGACAGGGCACTTTGTTACCTGTGGGAGTTTGCAGTGTGAATTAGTATATTGCAAATCTTAAAGATCTCTTTCTAATAGGGGTATAAACCCTGTGACAGTACAAACATTAGGAGGAGATGGTACTGATTTACAGCTTTCTAGCTAAAGACAGGAAAGTTTTAGCTTTATTTTGAGATGAAATATGAAATGTAAAGCTCACTTGAGACCATAGCCTTTAAAATACTTAGAATCAGTCAGCTGAGGAATTAACTTATTCTCAATAGGAGTTAACATAAACTATTTTAAAGCTCAGTGTTTACATAGGTCACAAAAGTTGAAAACAGCTGGAGACATACTTCATGCACTATTGCTATCTACGTAAGTAATGGAATTTTGTAAGTGCAATGTACAGTAAACAGCCTACTGAAGGAAAAATACAAGAAACATGAATAGCAGTAATTTGTTAGCTAGAGTAGGTTAACTCTTATTGTGATAAGGCTGACAGGCTTATTAATTAATGACCAAGATTCAGACCAGGTGCATGAGATTTCTTTTAGCTGCAGTTTGTACTGGGGTGTAACAAATGCTGATTAACAAAACAGTACTTACTCTAGAAGTTAACTGGGTGCCAGGTATGCATTTAAGGCCCTATTCTTCAAGCTGCTCAGTGTTCCCTGTGAGGCAGTCATCAACTAGGAGGAATACTGGACCCCATCTTGAAGGTCTGACTGAGTGCTGAGGTCACTCAGCCTTTGATCTTTTTTAGTTCACAAGAAGCCAGAGGCACAAAGTGCTATAAATTCTTACTAGACTCAATTTTGTAGTATTACTTACACACAGAATTTGGGGGTTTATGGTTTAGTTTTCTTGTAAAACTGTTTGGGACTACTGGTACTTCCCACCTGACATATTGTCTAACCCTTCAGACTCCTGTAATATTTGTCAAGCAACAGAAAGACCTTTATATTTTAAAATTCCCTGAGTTTCAGAAGTGGCTGCTTACTCTTTTGTGTTAATTCAAAGTTGGGTCACTGCTAAACCACTCTGGAAAGTCTGCAATCTCTTGTACCCATTAGTACAAACACAGGATTATGATAAAACAGAGATTGTTTCCTTTGCTGAGTTGGCATTTCACAGTCAAAGAAATTGGGTGATTGTTACAGTCTTCACCCCTTTTCATCATTCCTAGTCATTATTTCATCCTTCCCAGAGCACAGCTCTTGTTCTGTCACCTGAGTGTCTGTATTCTTTTTATAAAGCTCAAGCAGAAGCTGCCTGGGACAGCTTTAACAGTGGATGTTAAACTTGGAGTGATTTAAGGGAAAATTTGTCCTTTTCTGGAGGTTCTGCAGGTGAAGCATCCTGACAGAGTAGTCTGTATAAATAAATTAGAAAAAGATCTGGTCCCTTCAAAAACATAATCTAGAAAAACTATATGGATCCCTGAGGAGGGAGCTGGAAATTTTTTACTTACAAATAGTTCCAGGATACGTTTTGTCACCACAACTTGAGACTTCTTTTCACTTGATTGCTAGGGAAAAAGAACAGAGATTAATATGCAGTCAAGGTCATGCTTTGGGCCAAAAAGCAGCAGAAGGTAAGTACACCTACCTCACTGGAGCATCTCATCTCCCCTCTGTAACAGCTGCCTGAGGTTTCCAGACAGGAAACAAACCATTTCACTGAAGCCTGAGCCACATGCCTGGAAACTTGCTTCCTATACTGCAACCAATGCTCACTTGTCTTCTCTGCCCATAGTGTGTGTCCATGCTTTGAGGCTGCTGAGAAGACTGCTGCACTCTTGAAGCTGCCACCTGACTGCACCCTGAGAAGGTAGACAATTCTGGGTTGCAGGTGACTCAGGATTTTTATAAACACAGAAAAAAAAAAAGATGATCATCCTCTTGACAAAAGTGTCTTGTGCCCCATTTCTAAGTTAATGGTAGAAAAGGTCTCTAAAAGGAGGTATCTGGGGTCCTGTGAAGAAAATGGCCAAAGAAAAAAGTCATTTGAAAGCCTCCATACAAAGATCTGACCTGCCTGACTATGGCACCTAAGCTTAGGATCTAATTCGTCTAATTCGTCTTTTCCTATTTTCTAGGGTGAGCGTGTTATTTAAGGGAAGGTATCTTTCTTGGTTCAAGTTAGAATGCTTAGACCCAAAAGATGGCTTACAGGTCAAGTATATGCTGTTAAAAAAAATAAAAGTAAACTAATTTTGACTCATTCTCTGAAATGTTTCAATAGTCTGCATGTCTCAATATCATGTTCTCATCTCTGTTCCTTACAGAGTTATGTGATTACTGCCTTCAGCCAGTGAGGGTCAAAGTCTTACACATAGAAACAGGGAACTATTTCCAGAGTTTCGCTCTTTTGTTCAAGTCACCTACAGTGTGAATGCACATGATCAGTAAACTCAAAGAGCTACAGATGTAGTAGCAAATATCCCTTTCACTCAGCTGATGCACTGATTATGCAAATAAATTTTCACTGATAAGCTCTACAGCATCCACTTTTTCAAATTGTCAGGAGGCAAAACAAAGCATATGATCTCCTGATTTCCTAAAATCTTCTATAAAGAACAGAGATCCATTAAATATACCAAATGCCTCAGAACATCCCAGTGGTGTGTTGTTTCTGAGCCCATTTAGCACTCGCATTGGTGTGTAATACTGTAGGGTTTGCTGCAGATTAGTATGAGGCAATGTGTTGCCAGTTTGAAAAGAGTGTTAACAATTAAAAAAGTGCCAATCAAAGCAAAAAGATGAAACATTACACAGCTATTAAGAATATTATTCAGTCCTTTTAAATGATTGCCAATTTAGATAGTTCTCTTGTTAAATCATTCTTTTTAGCTATTGTACTGAATGCCAGTTTTCAAGAACAAGATGGTCCACAAGCTTAGCTCATTAATGAAGACACAACCTGGTAGGTAATTTTATAATTAAAATGGGTATTTTGAGCACTAGGCTGACTTTTGCTACATATCCAACTCTCAGTTGAGTAAGAGGCTTTATGCAAAATAATTTTAAAGCTAAATTGTAAGAGAAAGGGAGGCACAGTTGAGCATTTTGACTGTTTTGAGCAGAACAGCCTTAAAATGTTCTGTTTATTAACACAGTGGAGAAAGGTTTGTGTAAGGTTAGTGTTAGAATCACTTAGGATGGTAATTCCTTCTGCAAAGCATCTGCATAAATTAGAAAAAGCTGCCAGATTTCCATCTGTTAGCAATACAACTTCAGTCACAAAGACAACTGTCGTGACAACCACACTGAGTTAGTCTTTCAAATAAAACCTGTTAAAAGCTACTGCCCTCCAGCCTCCACCCACTGCAGTTAACAGCATTAAATAGCACTCTAACTGGTATTTATTTTCTTAGGCATTCCTCACTTGTGCAGCTGCTGGTACACTGGCCTTTGATTTTAAATCACCTCAACAGGATAAGAGTTTACAGTCTCTGAAGGACATGATGTATGTGAAGTGCTTGTCTGAAAGAAGCATCCAACCTGAACTTTCTCAGGCTGATGTTACTGGGTTCTGTGTACTTGTCTCTCACCTATTTTGCATGATCTCATGTCTGGGTACTGTGATGGTTCAGATTACTTCTTCCAGATGATGGTAAACCACAGAGACCACTGAGGCTGTTCTGGACAACAGGTCTAGGTTTAAAGGTGGTGCGAATCACCTTTAGGGCCTTTCTACCCTCCCCATCCAAGCTCCTCCTGCAGTTTTTGATGAACTTGGGTGGCACAGCAATTTCAGGCTAGTTTCAGCTCATCCATGAAATCAGTGCTGACAACAATATCAAAGCTATTAGGAAATTCATTTGTGGAAGGTCTCTCATTTAACAGTCTATTTTTACTCAAGCATTTCAGCGTCTCGGGGTAGCACATATAACACTTACTGACCTTTTGCTGGAACCCTTCCCTCATCCATGGTGGGGAATGTCTGTCCATCTGCCAAGGCAGCCCCCTGTTCCCTCTACAGCTCCCTCCATCACTGGTTATCCCTGGTATATGTACTGCATACTGACACTGGCTACACAACTAGGATAGAAGAAGGGAGCAAAAATGAGTCTCAAATATTTGTAACTTGTGGTTTAAAAACAGAGAAGAAATTTCTTGTTGAAGGCTGAAAGGAACTGTTCAGTAACTGCTAATGAGTGTAATAAAAGCTTGATGTTGTCTCCTGGATGTTTAAAAGCGGCCATTAAAAAGGTCCTTCACATGATCAACACAGAATACAAACCAAAAATGTAAAGCAGTGATTTTTCAGTTATCGATGTCAGCAGAATTTCCATAAATAACATTTCATTTATTTTTGTGCAAAAACTTCAGATTTAGCTGTGTACATCCTTATAGAAGGAGAAGATTGTCACTTCCAAGGTTTCTTCCTCTGGGCTTCATCATATGCTTTATTTTGTAGTGGAAGTATTCCTGATATTTTATTGTAATCACACAGGAGCCAAAGGGCATTGGACACCTAAATATCAGATGTCATTTATTTTTCATTAAAAGGACCTTTTCTAAAGGAAAAAAGAGCAAAGCTCCCTGCATCTTAGAGTTAGGTTACCTGAAAATATTAAGGTTTAGAGTTCCTGATTTCCTTCAGCAGAGGATACAAAGACAGTTCTCATGTCTGCTGGAAAGCATTGCGATGGGACTGTGTAATATCTCTTTATGAATTTAACTTATCTTGTCTAACAAATACTTACTACCTGAGCGCCATATGGAACATTTTGTTGGGCTCAGTGTGCATCCTTTCAGGTTCCTATTTGGATGACTTCTGATTTCATGTCAGTTAAAATGAACTCACTTTCCATGTCTTGGCCTTGTCTCCCACTTGCTTTTTTTTTTGCACTGGCATCTGCATGGGGGAGAAACAACAGCTCAGCTCAGGGCAGGAGGGGAGCCCTGGGGAGAAGTGCGAGAGAGGGAGGTTATCTACCCTGCTGCACTCTGTGGGTGCTCAGCATTGCATGTGGGTGAAAAATGGGGTGCTAGGACACTGTAAGAGTAATATCTTGGGTTCAAAACTAACATCACTGCCCTCTGGCTGGCTCAGGTGTGCTGAAAGTTAGTCAATAATGACACAGCACCTTCAAAGCATTTACAGTGTCAGCCAATTAAAATTCCTTCCCTAGCACTTTTATTCATGTTTGTTAAGGGTTAGATTGAGCTTTTAACTTCAAGCAAAGAGCTGTGGGAGGCTGACTGGAGTAATGCTCCTTCCAGCACATCTCTCTTATGTGGGAGGCGTGATGATAATCAGCTGTGGCTCTTTCCAGGACACAGCCTGTTTCCACGGGGCAGGGAAGGTGACGCTGCAGCCGTGCAGCAGCTGGGATGGCAGGCAGCCCCCACCCCAGGGTCCCTTCTCTTTGGGCTGATGCTTGGCTTCCTGCCTTATCTGCCTGCACCCAGGCTTATCCTGCAACCAGGCAGAGTGTGAGAGTGGAGGAACAAGTTTTGTCTGGAGAGACATCATGTCCAAGGAATGGGGAGCAGACTGAACCCTTTGCCTCTAGTTCCTCTCTCCATACTTAGTTAGCTGGGGCTGCCTGGCCCAGAGGATGGTCATTCACCAGCAAAAGACTTTTGCTTCTGGAGTGCTTCTCTGGCATAACTGGAGGCTTCAGCAAAGGCTCCTATGGCATCTTCGGTGGCAACTCTGTGATCTCCTTCTCCGAACTTAGCCACAACAATGTCTTGTGGTATTAAAACTAATCTCTGGAGTTTCCTCTAAGCAATTGCAGCCAGAAGTGACAGCAAAGTTTGGGCTGCCTAATGCAATTGCACTATCTACTGATACAGTAATAGTTAATGTCACCACCCTCTAACAACATTAGCCGATCTGTAAACAGATAAAACAGAGGCTGCTGGTGATGTAACTTTGTTGATCATAAGATTAGAGAGCCTGCTGGTCTTTGTTTGAGCCCTTTAAAGAAAATCACAGAGATTAAATAGAGAATTTCCAGTGATTTTATTATTAGTGTGTAATATGTTTACTTAGTCCTGATTAAACAAGATAACATGGTAAAAAAAATAAAAAACTAAACCAAAAAAAAACCCCCCATGCTTTCACCAGCTCTAGAAAGGATAATCAACTGGGGAAGCTTTCCAGCACACTTCAGTTACACAGCAAATGTAACTATATCAGTGCAGCAGCCAGCTGAAAAAGGATCATGATTCTGGAGCAGAATTCATGTGCTTTTGAGTGCAAGTCCCAAATTCTTCCTGCAGTGCAACAGGAGACTGTGCAAGAGGCTCTTAGCCTTTGTACAGGGAGCCATTAACAGCAGGGATGTGATTTTACTGTGTGATGGGAGGGGGTGTATTCCTTTGGGTTAGGATCCAAAACACACCAGGTAGTCACTTTCTGCTTCAAGAAAACCTTTCACATTAGAATAAATGTTCAAACATGGGAGACTGAATATAATTATTTACATTAAATTCACATGCTTTTTACTGATGTTTTTTTCTCCTTACTGGAGGTGTGTATGTTCCAAAGCCAAGCCCTGAAGGCCTCTTTCTGTCCAAACTCCCCAAGAGTGTTTAAGCAGGGACTTTGTGGCTCGTAAGTAGCTTTTTCTTCCTTGTAGCTCATTTTCCAGAGAGGTCGGGTAATGATTATATCATTTGCTACTTTGGGCTGCATCTTTTAAAGTCACAGCCTAAAGTGAAGATTCTCTTATTTTCACTGATGTACTCAGCAGAAAATAGCAAGATTTTGAAGATTTCTGTGAATTTTACTTTCAATTTTCTAAGTGTTTTTTTAAGAATACTGCCATGTCCTCAAAAAAACCCCAACAAACAGTGGATCTAGTTAAAAACACAGTGTTCTAAAGCACACTGCCAAGTACCCTCATTGCTGGGACAGTCCAGAATGAAAGAAAACATAGCAACAGGTATCTCCCAGCTGTAGATGCCAGGCCCTTCACACTGTTTTGGTGCTTTGAATAGTGTAAATATCCTCCTCCAAACAAGAGGCTGGTGTTTGCATCTTCAGAGTGCAAGAATGGCAGCTGTGCTGTGTATCCAGGGCAATGTAAGGCTTCAACAGTTTGCTTCTAATGAGTTAGCTAGAGTACAGGGAGTGTGAGCTGGTGGACTATGGAGCAAGATTTGTGTTGACTGTGTTTGAAAGCTGAAATAGGTGCTTTTGTCCTGCAGGACTGGCATACCCACTCAACCCCCAGCTCAAGTCCATGATCATAAAAACATCAAGGTTCTGGGATGCACAAAACATCAAGATGAAAGAAAGTTTTTTCTTGTGTCTCTTGCTCTTGGAAAAGGTACTAGCTCAACTAGTGCTGCCTTCTCTTTGTGTGTAGCTCTGTATATTGGCCTGTCCCACCTTGGTATCTCTGCACAAGGGCTCAAAAATAAATAAAAGAAGATCAGTGACACATGCAGACTGAAACAGAAAACTAGTGCCGTGATCCTTGTTCCATGTTGCATGTCTCCACTGTCTTAGAAGAAGGATATTATGAAAACACCTTTTGAGACCTCAGTGGAGGGATACCACTTAGAATATTTCATGAAAACAATACCACTTAGAATATTTCATGAAAACATTTCTTCACAGCATGCAAAGGCAGCTGTTTGGTTCTGCTGATACAAGCAGCGCCTGATTGAAATGGAGCAAGCAAAGATGCTCCCTCCACTGACTCAGGAAGTGCTTTATACCTGTCCTGTTTCTAATGATAATAATAATATCTGTTCTCTGCTTGTTACAAGGTAGTTTTAAGAAGACCTGCATTGTAAATTCCTTTATGCTGCAAGAATTAATCACTGAGATCAGACAGAGAAGTCTGAGTTTGATCTTAGTATTGGTCCTCACTACCATTGCTGACATGATGAAGATGTATATACAAATTGTACACTGAGTTAAGATAAGCGATGTGCTTGCTGAATATGACTTGATTGTCTTCTGTGGGGATTTAAAACTAAACTTTGCCTGCTGGGAAAAAAGAAGGTCTTCCACCAGGTCTTAGAAAACCCCAAAGTGTTGGCAGCTCTGTGGTAGCTGCCAGTTCCTGGGCTGGTCTCATTTTACTACAGGCACAAGGATTCTCATTTCTTCCTCAGTATTAATTAGTCCACATGAAAAGACATTCTGAGGGACAAGGCTGATGCTGTCCCAGTGGGCTGCAGAGACACATTGGTGCTTTCTAGCCTGGGAATCTGCCCTTACATTTGTCAAAACTCTGATGGGATCCTACGGATTAATAATTCCAGATGGCAATGCTCTGATACTGAGTAGAAACCAGCCGTTTCAATCCAAAAACCATCAGTCATCCTAAGTGCACAGATCTACTTCACATGTTTTGTCAGTCTTCAAAGCATTTCAAAGAATCTTGAACAATTTCTTTGTTTGTAAGACATTTTGATGCAGATTTTCTTCTCCCCCAATATTAAAGCAACATATAAACAATTTTTAACTGTTTCATAATTCCACAAGTTTCTTCTTGTTTTAGGAATTATATTTGTTATAGTTTTCTATTTACATTTGTTTTTTTTCCTTGAGAAAATTAGTTCTAATATAAAAAAATGTTGAAAGAATATTTTTATGACAACAAAAAATTTAGAGGAAAAAATAGCTACAATCATTGTACAGTTTGCTATAAAAGCTTTTCCTTAAGCAAGATTTTTTTTGACTTCAAGTTCCTCTGCAATGTGAATTGCTTCTGCACTGAATAGTACTTTTCAGCAGAAAAATGTTCTTCCCATGCCTTGTTTCCCAGCAATATCCTGAAGGGGAAAGTGAAGAAACTTTTTCTCTGTACTGCTGGTATTGGAGTTGGCAGCCAAGCCCACATTCATAGCAGGCAAACTGTTATTTGTTCCCTTTAGAACATATCGACTGTAAATGTTTATAAAGTGCAGCACAGTGAATAATTCAGATATAAGTG